AGCTGAAAGTAGAGAAATTCGGAATAGGGCAACGGAACCCAAGGGGCCAGCAGCTGGCCGACTTTATGGAGAAAGAGGGACTCTTTATGATGAACTCTTTCTTCCAGAAGCGGCCCCACAGGAAGTGGAGCTGGTCGAGCCCCGACGGTTCGACAAAAAATGAGATTGACTTCATTATGACGACCAGACGACAAGTGTTCAGTGATGTTTCAGTGATCACGAGGGTGAAAACCGGCAGCGATTACCGAATGGTAAGAGGCACACTGAACCTAAACGTTAAGTTGGAGAGGTCACGTCTAATGAAGTTAACGCTCCGTCCTCCTCGTACTCTAATCCAAAGTCCCGAAACCTTTCAGCTCGAGCTACGAAACCGCTTTCAGTGCCTAGAAGATTGCAATGCAGTGGACGATATGAATGACAAGCTCGTGTAAACTGTCCATGCGGTCGGAGCTAAGTTTTGCAGGACCCGCCGCAGAAGAACACAAAAAATCTCCGATCACACTCTCTCAGGGCTGTTAGACGGGATATGAAGCTGCAGTCTTCAGTAGATTTGACAGCATACAGGCAACTGAACAGACAGATCTCCAAATGCATGCGGCCGGACTCACGCAACTTTAATACTGCTCGTATTGAAGAAGCGATCGAGCGGAACCAAGGCTCTAAAGTCTTTGCTAGAGATCTGTCTGCCAGAAACAGCCAACTGTCAAAGCTGAAGACCGAGTGTGGCAGCGTCGTTTCCGGGACAACTGAGATTTTGAGTGATATTGAGAGGTTCTATGGGCAGCTGTACACATCATCGTTGGAGCCACACGTAAGTGTGAGTAATGATCCAAGGGCGAGTCTTATCCGATGATACCCCGGACGTCAGTCTGAGCGAGATTAGAATGGCTCTCCAGCACCTTAAAAACGGCAAGGCCCCAGGCGAGGATGGAATTACAGCGGAGCTTCTGAAAGCGGGTGGAAAACCGGTACTTGAAGTCCTTCAGAAGCTCTTTAATTCCGTCCTCAATGGTGGAATTTCACCGGAGGCGTGGAGCAGAAGTGCGGTGGTCTTGTTCTTCAAGAAAGGTGACAACGCTCTCTTGAAGAACTACAGACCGATTTCCCTTCTGAGCCACGTCTACGTGCTGTTTTCGAGAGTTATTACGAATCGTCTCGCGCGCAGACTTGACGACTTCCAGTCTCCCGAACAAGCCGGTTTCCGAAAAGGCTTTAGCACCATAGACCACATACATACCCTTCGGCAAATTGTACAGAAGTCCAAGGAGTACAATTTGCCACTATATCTGACGTATGTGGACTATGAGAAAGCCTTTGATTCCGTCGAAATTTGGGCGATGCTGCAATCCCTTCAGCGATGCCAAGTTGACTGTCTGTATATCGAAGTGCTGAAGTGCTTGTACAGTAGGGCTACGATGGCTATCTGAATACAGAACCAGAGTACGAAACCTATCCAATTGCAGAGAGGTGTAAGACAAGGTGATGTTATATCCCCGAAACTCTTCACCGCTGCATTGGAAGACGTTTTCAAGCTTCTGGACTGGAAAGGATACGGTATTAATATCAATGGCGAGTACTTCACTCACCTTCGATTTGCCGACGATTTAGTCCTTATGGCAGAATCGCTGGAGGACCTAAGCACTATGCTCAATGACCTCAATAGTGTTTCCCAACGGATAGGTCTTAAGATGAACATGGACAAAACAAAGATCATGTTTAATGTCCATGTCACACCTATGTCGGTAGTTGTTGGGAGCACTAAGCTCGAAGTTGTTGACGAGTATGTTTACCTGGGACAAATAGTCCGACTAGGTAAGTCCAACTGAGACCGAGAGGTCAATCGACGGATTCAACTCGGTTGGGCAGCGTTCGGAAAATTACGGCATATCTTCTCGTCAGGTATACCTCAAAACTTGAAAACAATACTGTACAACCAGTGCGTGTTGCCAGTGATGACCTACGGAACTGAGACAAGGTCTTTCACTGCTGGCCGTATGAGGAAGCTCAAGGTCGCTCAGCGAGCTATGGAGAGGGCTATGCTTGGAGTGTCTCTGTGTGATAAACTTAGAAATGAGGATATTCGCAGTAGAACCAGAGTAACCGACAGCCCAACGGAAAACGGATTAGTAAGCTGAAGTGGCAATGGGCCGGCCATGTAGCTCGAAGAACCGACAACCGATGGGGAAAAAGGTTCTTGGGTGGCGGCCTCGTACCGGCGGACGAAGTGTAAGGCGAGCCCCCACTAGATGGAGTGACGACCTGGTAAGATATGCAGGAAGTCGATGGATGCAGGTAGCTCAGGACCGTGCTTTGTGGCATTCCTTGGGGGAGGCCTATGTTCAGCAGTAGACTTGTGAAGGGCTGTAATGATGATGATGATGAGATTTAGTCGCCCCAGTCCGAAACCTTATCCGGCAAAGACTCTACTTCGGATACAAGTTTGTTCCGGTATTCGGTGACGTTTTCCCGAGAAATATAGGCACAGCCGGTGTATAAAGCATCACCAGTGCACGTTACTGGTTTGCAACATTAATGTTTTATTATTGATAAGCAGAAGAAACAGTGTAGGTGATAGCACGTAGCCTAGTGGAACACCAGCATAAATAATATTGTAAATGAAGCATGCACCTTCTACTACAACTTTGTTGCTCCAGTATGCAAGAAAACTGCTGATCCAGTTGCACAAATTCTCTGGAAGCCCATAGGAAGGGAGCTTCGAAAGAAGCGCTTTGTGCCGAACCCGATCGAAGGCCTTCACTATGTCCAAACTAATGGCCAGAGTCTCCCTCTCTGCCTCTGCCGATTTATGAGTCAGGTAACCCTGAAGATCATCAGTTGAGCAACCCCGACGGAAATCTTACTGGCGGTCACTTTTCAGTTGGTGATCCTCAACCTCATGAGCTTGCAATTTACAATGGTTTTCATTATTTTGAAGAACAAGTTGGATAGGTCGGAGCGGTCGATTTTCGGTTATTTTTAGGGATCTGGTGCACTAAAGTTGTCTTCTTTGAGTTTGGGACTACGCCTAGGGAGAGAGTTTTAGAAAAGACACGTTATGACCGGTGCCAACAGGGAGCACACGTCGTCAGCACAATGGGAGGAACTCCATCAGGTCCACTAGACTTGACGTCTAGGGAAAGCAGTGCTATGCGAACCGAGCGCAGTGTAAACCGTATCATACCGATCTGCAGGCGAAATTATACTTCTTTTTAACAGCGCTGGTGAAGCACTCCTATTATAGCGCGATGCAATTTTACAGGAGCGACCAAATCAGGTACCACAGATGATAGAATAAAGAGTCCCATTCCCTGAAGTACCACATCAGTGACAGAAGCACGTTGGGATCATCCGGCAAGATGCATATCTGCCCTAGCCCTCAAGGAAAGGATGCAAAAAAAAAACCGCATCCTGTCCCAATCAGCCGATCTTTAGTGCAAAAAATGGCGGCGATCTGCAGAACTCAACCGCGATGGGAGTGTGAGTGGCACCATAGTCCGGATCAGACAATGGTCCAATGAGCAAAGAGGGGTGTCGACGGAGACCTGATATCCGTCCGGATGAGTCAGCAGAATGTCTAACAGAAAAGGTGCACGATCTTCCACATCTAGAATCCGCATAGGTGAAGTAACCATTTGTGCTGGACCATATGCCGAGGCAGAGTCATAAACAGATCTTCCCGCATGATCGGTTAAACGAGATCAAGCCATTTAGCATGGTTGCCGTTAAAATCCCCAAGGATCACGATCTCTGCAGATGGGACCTGTTGTAGCATGGTGTCTGCAATGATTTGGACCCCCCAGATGTTGCAGAAATTCACGGATAGCGTGGCAGGGGTCACCTTTGTCTTATTGCTACGAGCAGTATTTAGTCTTAAGCGGAATTTCGCCCTCCCCCCTCCCCATAATACGCGAGGCAGCCTAAGAGTAGAGTAGCTTGGGTTCCAATACCAAAGGTGCTGGTACCCTCCTGGGAAGGTTTCTTATTTAATTACACTACCATGTTACGGGTGAGAAGGGTTAGGCCTCCAACCACCTGCACTTACCAGGCGAAGTAAACTTCTACTTCACGCTGGTTATCTGTAAGGTCGTGGTACCTTCTCGGTTCGTGCTGGTCCTCACACTGGTTCATTACATTCATTCATTGCATTTCATTTCTTACCACAGGTCGTCAATCCATCTAATCTGGCCCACCCATGCGACAACAAAAGCTACCGTGTGGCTCTTTCACTGTTATGTTGTCTGCCTATATTATTAACTTTAATCTACTTCGTCATAGTTTATGCGTTACACATAATACTTAGTAGTAAGTAGCTTTGATTTATTATGCCCTGCAGTAGGCGACAAGGAGCTGATGAAGTGTCAAACTTCGCGGAGAATACTTCGAAAAGCAATAAATACATTTTTAAATAGTAATGTTGTGTCACTTCCTTGATTCCCGAAATTTTCAGTGCCGCCCTCGTAGGGCCCCAATTTAATTTTTGCCCCGGGGCCCTTGGTTACATAGGTACGGCACTGCTCTTCATCATCATATTGATTAACATCCTACCCTATCCTATACTACCTATTTTTACTATAATTAATCCTTTAATTTGTATGTGTGTGTTTCATTTAATTAGTGCTTTATTTTACAATAAATTAGACTTAAATGTTCTAATTTCATTTCCAAATATCTGTACATTTACGCAATAAATACGTACTATAATAGCGCCGAAACTAGTCTATTTATTGACTATATTCGCGACAAGACACGGAGCATCTTTGTGAGACAGGACACTTAACTACTTGTTTATCTTTATCAGTCGTGTCCGTAGTAGGTACATAAAATTATTTCGTCATCAACGGTGAGTGCGGAGCGGGGCGGAGAGAACAGTTGCGCGTACGCCGCGAAAGAGACGACAGGCTCCTTCGCGGCTGATAACTAGACAATAATGTAAATTAAAGTCATCGTAACGCTTAAATGAAACATCTTAGTGAGGCTAGTGGCCACGTTTTACCACCATAATGGAGTGCTACACATCGGACAGCTGCGACAGTGACAGCAGGGAGCAGAAAACACTTGATCTATCAAGCAAATTGCTCGACTCAATAAACATATCGACCGAATTAAAATGTATTATCGATGAGAAAGATTGTGCGGAAAATTACGAGATTATTCTTCTCTATAGTAATCGAATAAAAGCGTTGCCTGAGTCTATAAACAAGTTCTGCAACTTGAAGATACTCGATGTTAGTAATAACAGATTAGCAGTTCTCCCAGATCTGCTCAAAAACTGTCCACTGACATCCCTTATCGCCAAGCACAACCAACTTACAAATGAATCGTTACCCAAGAGCTTCTTTTCAACAAGAAACACACTCAGGGAACTCAATTTAAGTGGAAATCAACTAAATTTCTTTCCAGAACAAGTATTAGATTTAAATTCTCTTAAATATCTATATTTAGGAGGTAACAATATAGCCAACATACCAAAGGATATCTGGAAACTTAACAGGTTGGTAATAATGGGATAATTAATAATATATAAACCTAATTTAAAATTTTCGTCGAATCTGGTTGAAAATATGAAACCATTGTGAAATTCATCTTTCCGAAATCAGCAAAATTAAAAGCAGCACTAACGTCGGAGATCACATTAAAATTTTATAGTTTACTCACGAACATTTTGAAACTAGATTTAAATCATAATTCAACTATTATTCATAACAATTAATTTGTTATTGTATTTTAAATACTTGTGGTGCAATATCGTGAGCTGTAGGTACCTGTCTAAATTGAGTACCTATTCAATTTACATACTAGTAAGTTTATATTTAATAACAATGTTTTCCTTCTGTAACAATGAAATTGCAAGATATATTGAATCCTCACTTTAAGTAATCATAAGGTAGAGATTTACATTAATGTTATTAACTGCATATTTGAACATAAAAAGTATATATCAATAAATACAACGAAGTAAGATTGACCATGTAATGGCAGTGTAAGAATATCAGTTATAAGATTTTCCTGACATTTCGCACAGTCGCCGTTTAAGACACCTACGGGGCGAAATTAAATCAGGGATTTTCTTAAGCCACAATCAATAAAATGCCACGAATGTCTAAAATTGAATTAGGCAATTTGCAAGGCAACCATTTCGCAGTCTGTCAAATATTATAATATCCTTTATAGTGTGTTTATTGATGCCTCTCTATATTTATCAAATAGTAGGGCATTCATAAACAATTACTAATAGCAGCAGTTATCACATGTAAGTGTCGCGTTTGGCATCCACAGTACGATAACTAAACGTAACAACATAGCCATCATCATCAATGTAACCTCATTATAAACATTCTGCTGAACACAGCCCTGTATTCTGTTCTGTTTATATAATTTCGTTACTTTTATTATGGCATACCTATTAAATGATATGGTGTTGTCTCTTACACAGTTAAATCCTTTGGTAAAGACAAGCTGCTTATTGAATTATTTGAGCGCTTATATAGGTAAAAGTCTAGATAATGCATGTAAATGATAATATATACGTAAGGCGTCCAAAAAAAGTGAGAATGCGGTACAAACTCTCCCAAAAAAGCAACTGCTGTCTGGTAAAGCTAAAGCTGAAACATCTGTAACCCATAAAATAATAAATTGCTAATCTTTACTTTTACGTTGGCGAAAATGAAAAACTTGAACCATTTGTTGTAATTAGGTACCCCTGTGCTTTGAAAATTTAACTATAGATTAAGTCGATCTAGACACACGGCAGTGTTTTTAAAAAGTTTGAAAAAGAAAAGGGCCACGCACCGGCATTTTGTATACTTTTACGCGACCTATTGCGAGTTGCGAGCCACTTTCGCACCCTCATAACTCAAAAACTGTTAGACGTAAGCACTTGTACTTTTGAATAAACTTATTATGGTTCTAGTTAAGATCTGAACCCTATAGATCCTATGCTTTGTGCAACTGATATGGAGCTTGGCACCCATTCAGATTTCAACTCTTTTATCGGCGAAGCTAACTTTCGACAGACCTACCTACTTAGTATTTCTTACGTTCGTGGTAAACCTGAGACCATTTGGTAAATATTTGGCATAAAATTTTATGAATGAATTCTTGGGAGAGATGAAAAAATATCCGCGGAAAGGGTACCCATAAAGCTTACCGACGCGCAGAAACAAACCAGACTGAATATTTCCTTAGACTTATTGGACTATAGCAACTAGATCATGTTTTTTTTTAATTGCTTCAATTTATAACAATGGACTAACCGTCATTAAGAAAATGAGCATTCTTTTCTGGGATAGTCCTAAATGAAAATTTTGATAATAGAGCTACTGTTCACCAAATCTTGTCTTTCTTTTTCCGAATTGGAAGGAGTACCTGAGAAAACAGAAAGTTAAAGATGATGGAGTAATCGCTGCAGTACATGAATTTTTAGTCGCTTATGATGAGTTCTTTAGGAAGGGAGTTTTAAGCTTAGAAAAGAAAACATTGCAAGTGTGCCTATTATATTAAAATGTGACGTTAAAAATAAAATAACGTTTGATAGAAGTTGCTTGTATAGTTGCTTCATTCTTACTTATTATTTATTCTGTGGTATAACAAAGAACCATTTATTATTTTATTGGAAAGAGTTAATGCATAGAATTGCGTAAAATGGATGCCATCTGCAAATGCACTTAATAAGAACTCAATTATTTAATCTTTTTATTATGCCCATCTTTATCAGCCCGTAAATGTCTAGTCAAGTATAGTGAGGATTATGTCTTAATTAACTTGGATGACGATCACCGTACTTATTTTGTCTCTTACGGTACTCACGAGAAGAAATGGAGGAAATTAGGCCAATACCTAATAGCAATTTTATTATCTTAATAAAATAATATTGACCAATACTGACGGAGAAACTACAGTTTAAAAAGGTCTCAGATAAATCCTAATTTTATTTCAAGAATCAAAGAGTATACCTAATATAATCACTACGTATTTATACTTAACAAATATATATTTCAAAATATTTAAGTATGTTTAAATAGTCGTGACCGGTAGACACTCTGGCAATGTTTTAAAAAAAATTATAAGCTAATAACATAGATTAATGATAAGTCATCGGCGCGCGATGACTTATCATTAATCTATGGCTAATAATAAAATTTAAATACTGTTCATAGTTTCTAACAGGGGCTATCTAATACCTACTTTGTTGTGACATATTTACCACATGCGTTATATCAGCTACTCGAAATGATGACTTGCTAATAATGTTAAGATATAATATTTAGATTAATTAGTTTAGTTTACTACAACTTACTTGCAAACTGTTTTGTCATTATTTTCAAGACTATACATACGTATCTACCTAATTAATGGTGATTAATGTGTATAAAATGTCAAATAGTTATATTGAATTAGCTATCCAATCCAGAATTTATGGGACACGACAACAAATGACTTAAAATCGAAAATAACGTTTTCAAAAAGTATTCAGTTACTTTAGTTAGAACGTTAGTTTATCCGATCGATGGTAGGTAATGTTGTGAGCATTGAGTATAAGTATTTAACAATATTTCTTAAAAAAGGAACATAATCGATAAATGTAATTAAAAAGTATCGCTGATCTATCCATTTACAAATTAATTCAAACTATTCCGCAGCCTGCAGATACTTTCAATTGGAGGCAATCAAATAGTTGAGGTGCCAGAGTCAGTTGGCGCGCTTACTTCGCTTCAAGCATTAGTTTTGAGTGACAACCTCATTGAGCAGCTACCAGCAAGTATCGCTAATTTGAAGCAGCTGCGTTCTTTATTAATACACAAAAATAAACTTAAGACTCTACCGCCACAAATAATTAAATTAAAATGTTTGACAGAGGTACGTATGCACTACTTATAATTTATAGTATAATATTTTAGAGGTGGTATTTGATATCGCTATTCGTGTCCGTAGATTTACCCTATACCCGAAATCAGCAATATGTAGAAGATCTAGTCGCCATCATTCCGTTTTCAAAATGTTCACCAATACGGCAAATAACAGAAATAGAGAACACGCTTCTTCATCTTTCTAGGTTTTTGACGCACATCAAAGCATTTACGCGGGCCACTCAGAAAGTTTTGCGAAACTAAAAAAGTTATATGATTAACGTGTTCTTATTAATAAATCTTTTTAAAACCCTCCACCACAATCAGTTCAAAGTTTCACGTTAGAACCAAATTTCGAAACACTTTTTCCAATTCGCCTCACACACCTCTTCTACGATCTGCTCGAACGCTGCTAGCGCTTCTTCTGGCGATGAAAACTGTATCCCTTTTAGGTGATTTTTTCACACGGTGACAAATCAGGGCTATAAGGATAGTAATCCAAAAGTATAATCGTTGAGCGGTCCAGGGTATAAGTCTCTCGTTTTCCGCCCTGAGTGCACGGACGCGTTGTCATGCTACAGTAGTAGTCCCCGGAGTACCGTGTTACTTAGTCGGTCGATTATTGCTTACACAGTGAACTCTTTTGGCAAGCATTCGGTAATATACCATTCGAATTGGATGCTACTTGGACTTCGTGAAGAATTCGACAGTAAAAAAATGTCGTAGTAAAAAAAATTAGCCATCAAAATCTTTTCTTTTCTTTCTTTTCTTTTCTTTATATAATTTGCATGCCACAAGAAATACATCATATATCAAGTGACGCCCCGTAGCCCCTATAGCAATTTATAAGAGGGTAATACTAAATACCAATTATCTTATTTCTTAACATTTGCTAGTCTAACATCAATTTTTTTTTAAATTATTACACATACATTTACTATTTATTTGCATCTATAAAGAATTCACTTAAATTATAATAACTTGTATCGATTAAGAATGACTTTAATTATTTTATAATGGTGTTGTCAATATTTTTGAAGTTATTTGGAACATTATTATATATTTTAATTACCATCGTATGGGGACCTGTTGTGAATAATTTTAATTTTGAGAATTGAATATTCAATTTATTTTGAGTTCGATTATTTCTTTTAACAGTATTTACAGGATCGTATAGATTTGGATGTTTTCTAACGAACTTACAACATTAAAATCTTCCATGTGCTGTTCTAATGTGTGGGACGTTTGGTAGGCGAGGATTCATTTTGTAATTAACGGCTAAAACTTCAACTACCGCTTCGTTTTTGGAATCGTATTGATAAATGTAAAATTCATCACCTGTAATAATGTCGTAAACACGCCGAAAAGAGCCTGCTTAAAATTTAGTAATCATGTCACGTTACCATTCCACGCGGGCCTGCTTCTGAGCAGGTTGTGCGGCATCTTCGCGTAAAGTTGTTCATGTAAAATCTTGTGAATACTTACCGATCCAATCTACAAATATGTATACTGAAACTCTTTATACTTAATTCACCTATTCTCTTCAATTGTTCACTGCAAACATTTTTCCTATGTAACAGGGCGGCCACTTCTTTGTTCATCTCTCAAAGTTAGTCGACCCTGCTGATATTTGTTATACCAGCGGCACACTTGCCACAGAAGGGTCTTTTTCCATAAATGCTATTTGAAATCCTAATCATAATCATTTATTTCGTGGATCATAGGTATTACATAGATGTTAGATACATTATTATATAAACAAGTTCAACTATGTTCATCACACGGTTCGTCCGGTTATAGGCGACATTTTAAATCGTAAAAAATCATCACGCAAAAATGTTAGCGACGTTTTTCTATGAAACACGATATTTCAGTTGAGCTCGTAAAAATGTAGAGGGAATTCTTTATATTGGAACATTAGTACTTGTAAATAATAGTTTTATTTTTCTAAATAAATATTAAAAATTAATTATACTTAATTCTAATAATAGATGACCGGTGTCTTATACAAAATAACTTGTTTTTTCCCCAAAATTTTCTCAAATAAATTAAAATGAATTTATTTAAGAAAATTTTGATGATGCATTCCATCATCAAAATTAAATGATAATAACGAGTATATGTACCTGCATCACATATTTTGAGACATACAGCGACTATACCGATAACCGATAACGTTTCCATTATTATCTTGTTAGTAAACTCAAAGCGGTAAAACTTTACTAAAATAATAATATAAATACGCACTTCAGTAATAGTGTTTATATTTACTATTATTTATACGGTGTTTTGTTAAAAACGTTAAACTTCAAACAATTATAGATAATAAGATCGTATGCTTAATAATAATCATTACAATAACATTTTATTACAGTTGAGTCTCCGAGATAACCCGCTAGTAGTCAGATTCGTTAAAGACATGACGTTGCAAACACCTTCCCTGTTAGAACTTGCGGGACGGACTATAAAACTTTACGAGATTCCAATAAGAGCTGGAGAAGTGCCCCTTACATTGATAAAATATTTAAAAGCAGCTGAGCGTTGCGTTAATCCAAAATGCAAAGGTACGTAAACAAATTGTTTCTTTCAGTTGCATTGCAATTAGTTAGAGGTACACAATTACATATGCACACGTGCATTACGACGCTCCATCAATTACATGTTATGAAACTATGTAAGACTTCGGATTTTACGGAATGAAAATATAAAAGTTCTCATGTAGAGTCTGAAGAGTCAGATGTTCTATTTCATTATTTTCGCAAACAATAAGCTCATGGGTTCGAGTTCGAACTCTAAAATCCGCTTCAGAGTCCAAGTGCAAACGATGCTTTGGCCAACTACGGTTGCACAATTTCGGCCAAAACTAAATGCCATCGGCCAAAATCAGCCAAAGGTTTGGCTGAAGCCGAAGTTTTGATTGCAAAAACAAAAGAATCTACGAAAAACATCAGCGTAGCACGCTCCAAGCACTTGTTCCGAGGACAAGAGCGTGTGAGAATATTCACACCTGCACTATAACTTATTAGTGTGTACATATATAAAAATACATCAAGGACTTTCATAATGTCTAGTATCACATTGAGACTGTTAAATCTATTTATGTATTTTTAATTGTATTTTATGGCTAATAGCTACAAGTACCGCCGATTTCTATCACTTATCGCAAACGGCAGAAAGACTAGAGACAGAATTCCTCAACATTTTAAGGTGATCATTGATTTATAAAAAAAATTCCTAAGTAATGATAAGATAAAAACCGACAGCATCTAGTCACTATTGACTATTGTCGGTTTTCCACTAGGTGTTGTAACATCGTTTAACAGCTGCTTTAGTCATCTATTTAGTCTTCTTTGTCACATTCATTTAAAAATTGTACATATAAGATCGCAGCGTACTAGTCCACTAGCAAGGTAAACTTAAATAAAAATGCGTGGCACGAATTCGCTGTTCAAGAATAACTTACGCCATATTAATACGATAAGCACGATTGTGGATTAGAACCATGTATGGAATCCGACGAATAAAACTTATGACTTATAAACCCTGGCTAAGTGCAAAAGTTAACTATAATTTATGTGTCTCACAAAACTACAGTTGCTGCATCATAAAATCTAGATGCAATCAGTAACCAAGCGGCCTGACCAAATTGTTAGCACTGTTTAGCAATGAATACCCTCACAAGCTGCACAATTTTGTTTTCATAAGACTTAAAATCCATGAGATTCGACATAATAACGGCTACAGCTCTCTGGGCTGGCCTGTCAAACTGTATCACACAATAAGTTTTATATTGCACACATATTAACAACGAATTTTGATGGTATTCATATCATACTGCTTGATAAGTTCCTTACGAATTAGTTTTTACAGACCCTTACAATGTACATAATTATTTCTTATTATAAATTTTTTTCAGGTGTTTTCTTCGATAACCGTGTGGAACACATTAAATTTGTAGACTTTTGCGGCAAGTATCGTATACCTCTTCTTCAATACTTGTGCAGTTCTAAATGTATTACTGGAAGCTGGGAGAGCCGTGAAGTGGATAACAACGCTAATACTCACATGATGCGTAAAGTCTTGCTTGGTTGATTTATTTCACATATTTAGTCACTACATTCACATAATCGCCTCTAACTTTATTTTGTATAATTGATTTGCGGAACAAAATGACCGCATTATTATTGTTACACTTTTCTATCAATCTTAACCATATTCTATTAAAATAGGTTTTACAATTATCAATGTTAATAAGCTTGAATATGGGACCATGTTATATAAAATAAAAAAGCACTATTGTTATCAGTTAAGTGTATTGTTATTGAATAAAATTAACAACTATTATTTCTAAAAGTTTTCGAAGTTTAACTTATTTTTCTAGTAGATATTTATAATATATATTATTCACTTTCTTGTAGAAGTTTCATCCTTTCTTCTTTTCCTCTTAGAATTGCAGCTTTAAATAATTTACAGTATAACTCAATAGCACTTGGAGTATCATCATTGCCAGGTACTGGATAAGTTATTAAATTAGGATTACAGTTGCTGTCAACAATTCCTACGGTAGGTATTAACATTTTTGCACTATCACGAACTGCCGTGTGTTGATTAAGAATATTATTCTGTGTGTTTAAAAATATACACAAATCGGGCAACCTTGTTATAGCTCCAAATTGGTGATTAGCATTAGTAAAGATACCACCACGCCAGAACCTTGTATGAGCATATTCACCACATTCCTGAGCAGTTTTTTCAACCAAATGTGCATTAAGAGCATTTCTGTTAAAGAAACAAATAATTCCTCCTCTGTACGCTATGTGAGCAGTGAAATTCAACGCCTTGCGCAAATGCTCTGCTGTGACGTCCAAATCAAAAATAAGATGACCTAGTCTAGAACCATAGAGATAAGGTGTCATAAATTCATTTAAAGACCCTTCTTTATGACCAAAATGCACCCTTGCATCAAATAAATCTTTAACAGTAAATAAATTGTGCACCTGGAAGTAGTCTGGATGTTCTAGTGGATTCTTCCTTTTAGGCAGATTATCTGAAAATAAATTAAATATCGATTAAAATATTTATCAATGTCAGCATTCAAATAATATTTTTACATGTTTTTTTTTTTACAATTCATAGACTTAAACCTTTTGTATGTCACCAAAATAGAAAAAGAAATATGTACTAAAGTGTTCACCAACAGTTACAAAATTTTATTTAAAAATTTTCTTATAAATTACGTACGATTGGGTGAGATTAGGTTTGCCCTCCGTTAACTTCTCATTTTTAAGGTGATCAATTATTAAAAAAACTATATTATTGATTTTAACGAAATCTTTACCAAATATTTATTATGACATTTAGAGTTGAATGAAATTGGATTGACCACAATATTATCATTTATTCTCGAGATGTGAGCTTAACAAATATCTTACTAATAGAGTAGACAGACAAATGAGCACGCAGCCCATCTGATGATGAGTGGGTGCTGTGGCCAATAAACATCTACATCAAATCTCAATTAAGAATCAAAACGTTGACACCCATTAGGACTAAGATGGAAAGCTTCGTTTCCAGTAAAAAGGGTGTCCGGCTCTCTATCCTCACCATATTAACCGGTTCAGTGTGTGTGACACGCCAGGCGTGCCATCGATTACTTTTGTGTGGCGTATGACACGAGAGTCGTGTCTTTTTAAAAATCGTTATAACTCGCTCAAATTGCTTTTTTGGAAAATTTATCCAGAATAAAATATTCATTATTTTGCGAGTAGTTCATGCATGCAGCTTTGTTTCTGGATATTTTGAAAATTTGAAATTTTAAGGGGTTGACAACCTTTTTTTAACGTGTACATGGTACTATTTTTACTTTGTGGGTTTTAAGTCATGTTATGGAAAAATTGTCTAATAAGTAACAAATAACATTGCGATCGCTCACAAACTCAAGTTGTAAATAAATTCACACTCATTGCGATCGCTCACAAACTCAAGTTGTAAATAAATTTCTGGAAAACAAGCCTCCTGTTAAAAAAAACAATGCGTTTGTCTTATTGTTTAATTTTGCTTAAAATGGTTAAACTGCCGTCTTATTACTATCATATGGCCGAATAGACCTACGAAGTACCATGTGCTCTTGTGATATGGTATACGGTTTATTTTTGCTTGAAACAGTTCGAAACCATCCATGCATAAAAAAATTTCGCTAATAAATAGTCTTTTGTCAATCCGCCGCCGTATAGCGCCGGCGTTTTTTTCCTTTTGAAAACACTTGTTTTGCTATTCTTACTAATTAGACGTTTTCAGATCGACTTTACTTTTATATTTGTATAACATTAAATAATATTTAACATTTGTAAATATCAATGAATGATATACCCTTTTTTTTTTTCAAATTAAGGTTCTTTGTTTGATATTTACAAATGTTATTATTAGGTGAAAATTTAATTTAATAAAAACCAAGGTTTCCAGGGTGATTTAGCTGTACCTACTTATATAAATGATTTTTTTATAACAACAAAAAATAGTACAAAAGGTTTGTAATCTCTTCATAAAAAAGTCACTTACTCTCAATTTCAAAGAAAACGCGTAAAAAAACAGTTACCCACTAAAAACAAGTTGTGTGTGGCGCTTGACACGCCCGGCGTGTTATGAAATCTTTGTTCGCCGCCACAGCTAAAAGTTGTCGAAAATTGGTGCCGCAACGAATCGGTTAAACACATCAGTATTAAGCTGCTATTTAACACGTCGGTCGTTCTAGCTTTCTCTTTCGTGCCTAAGTTATTACCATATTTCCATCATTTACAGTAGATTTCGTTCCTTTTTAACTTTTATCCTTACATGCCCTTTGAAATTTACAAATTTTAGTAACTAAAATTTTAAATTTAACCTCTTACAATATAGCTGCGGCCACAGAATAAGTACTACGTACAGAAGTAGCACCCCTTTGATGTTACCTACTTGCCGACGTTTTAATAGCCTACATAATTATTATTAATTAGATAAATCATGCACGCAGGCTAACTGCTAAATTAATCTTTATCGTTGCGCGCTAGTGTCTGTATGGCTTTTGCATCTTTTCCCCTTCTACGTCACAGACGATATTTCATAGTTACCCAGGGCTTTCAACAAACAGTATAAAACACAGTACGTTTATGGTAAATACCTTTTGATTATTTATTTAATTTACAACTTTTTACTTAAATTTAAATTTTCACATTGTAAGTTGTAACAGTATTTAACGAAAAATGCATATTTTGTCTGAATATTTCGATTTGTAACCTTGTTTTATAACAAAGTTTAGGTAGGTATTTTCGAAATATATGCCGTGAATCTGATTTATGATTATAAGGTCAAAATGAAATGTAATGACGCAATTCATCGTTTAGCTTTAAAGGACAAAATATACCCGCCGATGATCATCAAGATTGAGGGAAAAACGTAATTCTGCCACTAGCATACTGTAGTAATACTACCTATAAGTTAGAAACCAGAGTTCCCAGCAAATTGGGAAGCCTATTGATTACTCGTCAATCGATTCTTCTCAGATGCAGAAGTACCTGTTCCTCAGACTCAAAGGAGAACTGAACTTCAAATGAGGACAGTGATGATTCGGTGAAAAATCTCAATTTTGAAATTGGGCAACGTCGTTCCATTGAAATCTCTGACGAAAGACAACTTTGATAACCAAGCTAACTTCGAAGCTACACCCGCAGCTATATTTTCAGGGCCAGCTGTTGACGTACTTATGTGTCTTCCAATATTGAACTCAAGTCCAGATAACTCAAAAAGGAAGACAATTAAATCATGCATTTTACTTAATCAAACTGTGATGTCAAATCCAAATCTGCAGACATTCTTCATAAATACAATAGACATCAATAATAGAGTAATACAGACTGTATTCAAGAAGAAGACATCTGCTGGTTCCATTGAAGAGGACGAGAAAGGCAAACATCACAGTCATCACACACTTCCTGATTGTGTTAAGGAATTCATTCGCAACCACATAAATTCTATAGGAAAAACAGTGCGACAAAGACAAGGCTTCGGAAACAAAAATAGTAGGGGTTTATGATCTTCAAGTTGTTGTGCCCGTTCCAAAAGGTGACATATCGGGCTTTTACTACTAAAGTAAATTGCACTGGTTTAACTTTATCTTTATCTGTACCGAGAAGGTGTCGAATTTATTGTCCACAAGTTTCTTGTTAACAACGTCGTAAACATTGGGAGTATGTCGACGAGGGTTGCGTACCTTATACTCATAATCACCAAACGGTACCAACCTCGGCAAATCTCGATGAGGAGGTGGAGGAAATGTATGAGGATATCTTTCAAGCCATGCATTCCTTCAAAATCAACTATACAGTATTAATGAGAGAATGGTGAGCTGAAGGAAAGGAAATTCGGAATAGTGCAGTGATGTCTCAATGATTGAAAGGGTAAAAATTGGTAGCGATTACCGAATGGTGAGAGGCACATTGAAACTTCATGTTAAGTTGGAGAGATCATGTCTAATGAAGTCAACGCTCCATCCTCCTCATGCTTGAATCCAAAGCCCCGAAAACTATCAGCTTGAATTACAAAATCGTTTTCAGTACACGAAGTAAGTCATAACACGAAATCCACCATAATAGTCAATAACAAATGATATAAATAAGTGAACAAAACATAAAACAACATTCTGGGAATAAAAAGTGCAATTAAAGCTAGTGAACAACATAACCTAAAAATTAAAGAGTGAACGACATAACAGTGCTACCAACATAACCAACAAATATATCAAATAGTAATAACTGTCATTTTGACACACATAGCGAGTGTTGCCAGCAACAAGAATATAAACCACCATCCTTCCAGTGTTGTCAGTAAATAATCAAAAAAATGGACAAAAGTATGGAATTATTGATGTTAAAACTAGATGAGAAATTGAACCAACAAACCAAACTCATAACAGAGTCGGTGACGTATAATGTTATGGAGGCATTGGTCGAGAAATTAAAAATAATAACTGAAGAAAACATTAGATTAAAAGACAAAATATCAACATTGGAGCAGAAACTTATGGTTATGGAAAGAGAGAAAAGAAAATATAACTTAGTCTTCTTTGGCATTGAGGAGAAACGAAAGTCAGAAGTGGAGCTAGTAGACTACCTCAAGCACACAATCATAGAAACAGGCACACATCTAAATAGCCAGGAAATCAGCAATATATACAGAATTGGCAAGAATAAAAATGTTAAAAACCGCCCTATCGTCATCTCCGACACAACGCTGTGGAAAAAACACATGATTTTCAAAAACAAGTCAAAGCTGCCGCCAGGCATATATATAAAAGAAGATTATTCTAAAGAAGTGTTAGAAACGCGCAAGCAATTACAAGCCCAAGTGGAATAGGAAAGAAAGAAAGGAAACATAGCGTTTCTAAAACATGGCAAAATAATAGTAAAGAAATAATCAGAAATAAATAGAGAAAAAAGAAAAAGAAAAGGCCATGACTCAACTAACTCAGCATTCCAGAAAAAAATCGACTTAAAAGACAATCCAGCTTCTACATCAGCCAAGGGAAAAGAAATACTAAAACCCAACATATTAAGTATGTTACGTTGAAAGGGGAAGATCTGCTTCAATGTCAGAGATTCTAAAAACCTGCAATTACCACCGGTACACGAAATCAACTTAGAACAATTAATACCAAAAGTACACATACAACAACTGAAAAATGCACCCCAAGCTGGTTGGTTGATGAAACAACGAAAACATTTTCACCAGAGTGAAAATACCTGCTCAACTGATACAACATCTCAAAGCAACATAACAACTGGAGAAACAGACAAAACACAAGAAATTTACAACATAGAAACAAACGATATTTATAGAAAGAAGAACAAAACGAGAATAAGCCTATAGAAATAGTATACCAGAACGTAAGAGGACTTCGGACAAAAGTTTTATAGGAGTATTTTAACCTCAGATGAAGACTTATTCGCAGTAACAGAAACTGGTTGCAATCAGTCAATTCGTGATGCAGAACTCATACCAAGTGGATACACAATATTACGTTGCGACAGAACGGATGGTCGGAAACAGGGCGGAGCTTGTTTAGTGGCCACACCACGTGTCGAAGTACGGCGAGTATCAATACAGATATAAACATTGATAATCATACATTTGAATCAGTTTGTGCTGCAGTCTACCTTCAAAGAAGATTTTTGTTTTTGTTATGTGTATTATATATTCCACCAAACAGCATCAAAAATGAATATATGTTATTATTTAATATACTTGAACAATATTCTAGTAACTATAACAAGATGTTAGTGATAGGTGACTTTAATTTATATTCGTGTCCGTCAATTGTAAGTAACTATTATGAATATTTTCAGTCTTTTTGTGAATTCACTCAGAGTAATGAAATAAGGAACTGCAATAATCGTTGTTTAGATTTAGTACTAAGTAGATTCAAGAGGGGAGAAAGTGTGAGCGTGAGTGAGGCGGAGGAATTGCTGGTGCCGGTGGATGCCCATCATCCGCCGGTCAAGGTGACGGTTTGCATTAATACGCGACTAGAAAATAATGGCGAGGAGTTACAGTGCTCTTTGGACGACACCTTATCACGTTTGAATTTTAATAAAGCTGATTTTCCTCTATTGTATGCTTCAATAGCCGCAATAGACTGGACACCAATTTTTGAGTTGAACTTGGACGATAGTTTATCTTTTTTCTATGGTACTTTAAATTCGATTATAGATTGTTAGTTGTTACGTGCCTAGAAAGAGCGGACGTTCCTTATACTCTAAGTATGCCTACCCTGAGTGGTACAATAAAGAAATAATTCGAGCCATTAAACAAAAAGCTAGTTTACATAAACGGTATAAGACAAGTAAATCAATAAACGATTACGATGCGTTTTCCAAGTGTAGGGCAAAAGTTAAAAAAATGATAGAAATGACCGAAAAACAATACCAAGATATAGTTCAAAATAACCTTTTAAAGGAACCAAAATCATTTTGGAATTACATTAAGAACAAAAGAGATCATAGAAATTCACAGAAATTTTTAAAAAACGGAAATATATTATTTGAGGAGCAAGGTGTTAAAGAGTTAGCAAAATATTTCCACACTGTATATAGTACTCGACGAGCGGATTTGAATGTAGATGCAGCGGTAGCAGAAGCAGGAGGTGAGAATGGTGCGGCGCGAGTCCACCTAGAGAGGCTACACTTAGATGAAGTGAGACAAGCGCTCCAAAAACTCAAACCGAAAAGGTCCGCGGGTCCAGACGGTATCCCCCCTTATATCTTTAGGGATTGTCGTTTAGTTCTAGACAGACCTCTGCTTTAGATTTTTAACAAATGCCTAGAGGCTGCTGTATTTCCAGAGATGTGGAAACTTACTCGTGTGGTACCGGTACCTAAAGCAGGTAATGGAAATAATTTAGAAAATTATAGACCAGTAGTAGTACTGTCAGCTCCAGCGAAAATACTAGAGTCCACTATCCATTACAATTTATTCTTACAGGATAGCACGCAATTATCAGACGCTCAACATGGGTTCAGACCAGAAAGAAGTACTGACAGTAATCTACTTAGCCCATTCTATTCCTTAATGTATTCAACCTTATTCATTTTAGGAATGGTCGGACACAATGAACTTAGGGTTAGGAGAGAACTTGCTCTAGTTTTATATATTTATAAGGTACTCATAGGGAAAATATTTAATCTTGAAATACTACAACAATTAAACATTTATGTACCCGACGGATACATAGGGAGACGGCGACGGCCACAATTGCTTGCTGTGCCGAAAGGAAGGACAAACCTAATGTGTCAGGCGCCCCTCACACTTGCTCTCTGCACACTTAATTTGTTAGTGTGAGAAATAGACTTGTTTTGCTGTCCAATGAGTGAGTTCACAAAGATAGCATTATACATTATTTGTTATGTACCTAATTTAAAAAGATAATTGCACATAATAATAATAGCACATAAAATAGTTATAATTATAGCATATAGCATAGTTACACTATCGTATTAGGATTACCTGTAAAGATAGTTGTAATTGTTGAAATAAATAAATAAAAAAAATAATAACAAATCAATAAAAAACAAAAATACACTGAGCTCGAAAACAATAGATCTCATTCAAAAACGGAAAGAACTGCTTAAAAATAGAAGAAATAAAGCAACATTACACGAAATTACTGAACTAAGTAAGGAGATAAGTCGCAACATAAAACAAAATAAGTCAAATAAAAGAATAAAATGTATCCAAAAACACATTACTAGAACAGGAGGTATCAATAAAGCACTTAAAGAATTAAAAGAAACAATGCTATGGGTCCCGAAAATGAAAAGCAAAAACAATAAGGACGAAACAAGAAGACAGCCAATTTTAAAGATAGCAACAGACTATTATCGGAAATTATACTCTACTGAAAACACCTTAAAATTAAAAAACATAAACCTTGAAGACAAAACAGAAGACATCCCTTCGATTCTTCAAAGGGAAGTTCAGCATGCAATAGAAACACAGAAAAATGATAAAGCTCCTGGACCTGATCATATAACCAATGAGGTGATGAAAGCTACAAAGCTACTTTGCTAACTTTTTTAATCTTATCCTAAACACAGAATCCATACCTTCACAGTGGACAATAAGCACTATAATACTCATCTTTAAGAAAGGAGATAGATCAGACATAGGAAACTAAAGCCCAATAAGTCTCATGTCCAACATATACAAGGTGTTCTCAAAAATAATACTGAAACACATTACCAAAAAACTTGAACAACAACAATCAAGAGAACAGGCTGGATTCCGATCGGGATTTAGGTTTAGGTTTAAAGAATTTATTCTCACAAAAAGATTACAAAATCCACTTACATGAAAACAATAATATAAACTTAATCTAGGTAGCCGTCACCTTCTTGACAGTTCCATCGTGACACTCTCTGAGATTACAAGTCAGCAGCTTTCAAGAATGTAGTTGCACAATTGAGACTTCAAATTGTTAAAGGAATCTTTATCTTATCATTATAAGGAATCTATATTTATCTTTAATATGAGAAGGTAGGCTGTTATAAATGTGTGCTCCCTCAAAGGTAATATTTTTTTTCCCTAATTTGGTATTCAGAGATTGAAAAACGGGTAGCCAATGCTTGGAAGAGATTTTGGTCCCTCAAAGAAATGCTAAAAGGCAATCAATATAATATTGCAATGAAAAGGAAAGTATACAATACATGCATATTACCAATCCTTACCTATGGGTGCCAGACCTGGGCAAACACACAAAAACAAAACCAAAAACTGATTACATGCTAAAGAGCCATGGAGAGGAATATACAGAGTTACACAAAAAGAGATAGAAAGAGAGCTGTAGATCTAATTGTAGATTAAAAACGTCATGTCTTGTGAAATAACATCACACTTAATACTACTACAATATGGATGCAATTTTTCTAGTAAATCAGAAAATACAAGTGTGATTATTTGGCATAGTAAGGTACGTTGGGGTAAGATCGGTGATGGGGCAAGACCGTAGGATTCAAATTCCCGGCGAATTATGCTATATTTTGAAAAGCTAACAATATGCTACACGACGCCATTTCATCCTGACCCGACCCTCAGTTCGCGCCAGTCACTCCGGCAAGTGGGACCTGTGCTGCGTGGCATTTTATAAAACAATGTAATTTTTGTATTATTTTTGTCCATCCGATCTTTCCCTATCACTTTTATTTACGATTTTTAGCGAGAATATGGCTTCTTTTGTTATTATTTTGTGTGGATACTAATTTTTATGAAGTTATAGCTAAATAAAGCTGGTCCATGCAGGGGTAAGATCGCTGTAGGCCGAGATCCGATGTTTCCCCGCGTGAGTGAAGATCGGATGAATATTATACGATCTTTGCCTGTTACAAATATGGCAGTGGTTGTTAAACTTTCATTGGTCGTGATTATTTTTTCGTTGGGACTCAGTCTCGTTAGCAAGTCTGTATATTTAAAAGTAATAAAACAATACGATGGTTTTATTACTTTTAAGTACACATTAAAATACATTTTTTTTATAGGATAAGGGTGACAAAGGAGCACACAGTCCACCTGATGTTAAGTGATTGCTGCGGCCCATAGACATCTATATCTATCCTCAATTACAAATCAAAATGTAATTTATAATAATTATTTAAAAAATAATTTATAATAATAAATGCCGCTTTGTTAAAATATTTATATCTTCATTAACTCCTGCATTATCCCAGGGCATTTCGCCAGTCCTTACTGTTATTTTTTTTCCCATATAAAATCAAATGCATCCGATCTTTCTCTTATATTGAGTAATTCCATCTTATGTCATAACAAAGTTTGAGAAACATAAAATTACAATTTCTTTATATCAGGGATAAGATCGGATGGCAAGAAACAAAAAAAGAGAAAATCGTCTGGAACATTTATGTTTCTAGTAATTTATAGATCATATTGAAATATGTTTTTGAGCGTTAAATATAGAACAAATCTCTTTTATAAACTTTTTTCTCTAAGCAGTAGAAGTGGTTTTAAATTTAAGTCCGGTCTTACCCCTTAATGGCCAATTTTTCATTATGCATATAAAAAAGTATGTCTAGTTTTCGCACACCTTTAAAGCAGAAACCGTTGAGTTTACACAAGCAAAAGATTCTCAGAGCTAAACTACGTTTAACGATTAACGGTTTGCTCCATGTTCCATAAATCTGACGTATGCGAATGTCGAGAAATTAAAGTTCTTGGCAGACTCTTCCAACTTTTCGAAAATCCGTCCGGTATTACCCCAACGTACCTTATAGAGACCAAAGATGACTAGGTCCTTGCCATTTAGGTATTACGCATTAATTACTTGCTACATCTTTCAATGGTTGTCTCTTTCTGCCTTATTTGAAAATTAAATGAAAAAAAGACAAGTAAATTAAGTCAATTTATGTAGAATTGTAGGCACTCTAAGCATTAACCATTGCATATACTTAATACACAGAATTGAAAAATCTGTAAAGTGAATAACATACCCTCTGAAACTTCTGATTTTTGCTGTACTGCCTGCGCAAACGTTGAATTATTTTTCAAAATCGAAAGCCCGTTCTTTCCAGTAGAACCTTAAAATCAAATAAAATTATCTTTTATGAATTGAAGAATTTTAAGTTACCTTATATGTTATACGAATACGTACATATAAATCTAGGCAACATGATTAGTTAAATTGTGTTTTGAATAATTTAAGTAAGTAAACAACAATAATTTAAATTTTATAACAATCAAAATACATAATCAGAAGGTTTAGAGGTTATTATTTTATATTTTGATTGTTGCTATTTTTACAATTCATCAAATAAGGCAAGCAGCAGTCTTAAACCATACAGCCTAGTCTGTACTTCCATAATTATTCTGCACAATAACTTGATGCGTCACTTTGCGAAGTTCTTGAGAAATAAACCGAGTCGACTGAGAGTGACGATAATATCTTCAAGGCCACTAAGCGGGCTGAAATTAGTCCGAACAATTCCTTAGAGCACTCCCCGTGGTAAGATGCGGTAAAATACGCTGAGATGCAACATCTCTTCGTAACGCCAGTGAAACGCCAGTGATCGTGAGTCGATCGGAAAGGTCTCGGTCGTCGACGATTCTAGCCGCTCTGTGCTGAATGCGGTCAAGTGGAAGAAGCTGGCACTGGGGAGCCCAAGCCCAGAGATGGGAACAATATTCCATTTGAGGCTGAACCAGCGCCTTGTAAAGTTGCAGGTGGTGTGCCGGAATGAAATACTTTTCCGCTCTGCTGAGCTCGCCAAGCTTTTTAGAGGTCAATTTGGCCTTCTCTTCTAGGTGAACACGAAACTGTCCGTCACTTGATATGTCGACACTGAGGATTCCGATACTGACTGAGGCAACAAGGGGCTGGACTACATTTAATCGCCCCCAATCCGAGACTTTGTTCAGCAAAGACTTGACTTGAGAGACAAGTTTGTTCCGGTACTCAGCAACGTTTTCCCGACAAATATTGGCACGGTCGGTGTAAAGAGCATCACCAGTGCTGTTATCCGCATAGCAGTGAATGTCTACGGTTTGCAACATATTGTTGCGCGCCACGATAAATACATGGTATATGGCGACACTAGTTACCACTAGCGCCCTCTAGTATCGAGTGGCAGAACTGGTAGAGTAAAGAACATTCTAGAAATTTCCGTGGAAGAACTTTCTAGAACTATCGACACTTAGTCAATCGGGACCGATATGTACTCGAACATTCTAGAAGTTTCTATAGTAGAAGGTTCTGGAAACTACCTGAGGCCCTATATAAGGCCGGTATAGACCGCGACCGAGTCAATTTTGAGTTGAGACGATACAACTGCGAACTAAAGTGATCAGTAGTACAATTATGTTTTATTATTAGTGTGGTTTAGCTTGTAATTAGTGCTCTGTGATTAAAGTGTCAATTTTGGTAATTCACTCGGCAGTTTTTAATTGTCTCGAAACCCAAGCTCGTAACAATATCATTGATATGCAGTAGAAACAGCGTTGGTGATAGAAAGCAGCCTTGTGAAACACCAGCGTAATAGGCTTGTAATTGGAGCATGCACCGTCTACTATGAACGTGATGCTCTGATTAGGCACAAAAACATCCAATTGCACAATTTCTCGGGAAGCCCATAGGAAGCAAGCTCCCAAAGAAGCGGTTTGTGCCAAACACATTCGAAGGCTTTCGTTATATCCAAATTAACGGCCAATGCCTCCCCTTGGACTCGATCGCCTGCGCCCATCTATGTGTTAGGTAAATAAGAAGATCACCAGCTGAGCGATCCCGATGGAAACTTAAGGTACCGCATGAGCTGGCAGTTAATAATGGATCCATTATTTTCTAGAACAAGGAGGTGATGGCGATAGGCTTGTAGTTGGACGGATCAGAGCGATTAACTACTTTTTGTCTTCCATGAATTTGTGACAACGACTAGGAAGTAGGAGTACCGGAAAAGACGCGTTAGAACCGGTGCCAGCCCTGGAGCGCACGTCCTCAGCACAATTGGCGGGATTCCGTTAGGCCCACTCGACTTGTGTATGTCCAGGGACAGGAGTGTTTTGTGTACTGATCACTGTGTGAATTGCACATCAGGCATAGAGCACTCACACTGCGGGATGGTCGGCGGTGTGTTCCCCCCGTCATCGGGACTCGAGTTGGGTGCAAAAAGGGAGACTAAAAGATCGGCTTTCTCTTTTGAGGCGTGGGCCAGTGAGTCGTCCTCCCTGTGCAGAGATGGTGGTGATGGCTTACAGAAATTTCCTTGAACAGCCTTAGCGAGAGACCAAAATGCACGTGTACCCGAAGGAAGGCGCACTAATTTCTCGCCAAATCTACCAATGTGCTCATACTTTGACTTGGCAATGAATCTTTTGAAGGACCTGGGGGCGTACTTATACTTCTTTTTAAGCATGCTGGTGTTTACAGCCCGAGCCGCCGAAGCCTTAGCCCAAGCCTGATAACACTCCTGCTTACTGCGTAATGCATGCAGTCATGCAGGAGCGACCAAACTAAGGAGATCTGCCTGGGATGGGTACCACAGATGATTTTTTTATAGAATAAGGGTCACAAACGAGCACACAGTCCACCTGATGGTAAGTGGTTGCTGCGGCCCATAGACATCTACATCTATCTTCGTTTGCGAATTAAAATGCAGATGCGTTGTCAGCCGTGAGGACTAAGATTGAATGCCTCTTTTCCAGTAAAAAGGGTGTCCGGTTCTCTACACCTCGCCATACGAAACACAGCAGCGTTAAGCTGCTATTATACGCTGGTATTCTGTGAGAGCATGGTCCTTCCCCGGTCGAGCTGACCCATTCGTGCTACAACTATCTAGTTATCTATTATGATTTATCTAGTTATCTATCTGTTCGTGAAGTTTCATTACAATACAATCGGTTTAGCCATTACGAAGATTAGCCAGGACGGATAGACAGGCAGACAGACAAAAAAATTAAAATGGTTGTTCATGACTTATTGGCACGCAAATAACCTCCTCACAACATAAGGCAGCTGTTTTTATATTACAAACGGACACTTCAATTTTATTTGTATGTATAGATTAAGTACGTATATATGGCGGATATTAACAACTAGAAAGTATATATGTCACAGTGTACACATTACGTGGTTGCGAAGTTTGAATTAGCGCATTCGTTTCGCCGTACAAGCGTAACTGAGGGACGACCTCTTTACGGGGCGGGGCGGGAGTGCGCCCGTGGTACACTCACCATACGAAACACAGCAGCATTAAGCTGCTATTTTACGCTGGTATCCTGTGAGAGCGTGATCCTTCTCCGGTCGAGCTGACCCATTCGTGCTACAACTATACTATTAATATAGCTGCAGCATGGCTCTACCACGTATAATTAATATAGCTGCAGCATGGCTCTACCACGTATAAAATGTGATGGAATAAATAGTTCCATTCCCTGTAGCACCACATCAGTGACAGAGTCAGCAACAGCACTGGGATCATCCGGCGAGAAGCAAACCCGCCCTCATGGGTAGGATGCAATGAAAGACCGCATCTTATCCCAATCGGCCGACCTATAGTGCCAAACACGGTGGCAACCTGCAAAAAACAACCGCGAGGGGAGCGTGAGTGGCACCACACTCCGGATCAGACAATGGTCCGAAGAGCCGAGACTTCGACGGAAACCTGAAATCCGTCCGGATGAGAGGTCAGCAGAAGTTCGAACAGGGAAGGTGTATGCTCCTTTTCTTTATATGATAAGCGTGACAAACCAGCACATAGTCCAACTGATAGTAAGTGGTTGCTGCGGCTCATAGACATCTACATCTATCCTCGATTACACATCAAAATGCAGATGCGTTGTCACTCATGAGGACTAAGATGGAATGCCTCATTTCCAGTAAAAAGGGTCTCTGGTTCTCTACACTCACCATACGAAACACAGCATCGTTAAGGTGCTATTTTACGCTGGTATTCCGTGAGACCGTGATCCTTCTCCGGTCGAGCCGACCCATTCGTGCTACAATTATACTACTAATATAGCTGCAGCATGACTCTACCACGTGAAAAAGATCCTCTACATCTGGAATCCGCGTAGGCGAAGTAACCAATTGTGTCAGATCATACGCCAAGAGAAAGTCATAAACAGATCTCCTCACACGTTAAACGTGAACCCAGCCATTCGTCGTCGCTGTCTACGCGCATCCAAAGGATGGACTGGTCCGTAATTTCAAGACTGCCGAGGCGTCGTGAACAGATATCCTCTCTGGCGTATACGCAAACTCCAGCCTGAGGCACAAAGAAATGTTCTAATTTGTACGCGGGGTAGGACAGGTACGAAGTATCAGCCGGAGAGGACACCTGCGACTCGGTCAAAAAGACCAAGGACGAATTCGCCGTCTCTAGTACGGGACGTGTAGTGGAAGGCGTGAAGGTTCGAGCAGTCGCTCTGTTAGTCCCGATTTTGCCCCCCCCCCCTTAAGAATACGCGGGGCAGCCTGTGCACCCACGCTCAGGAAGAAGAGGGTAGCTTGACCGTGGATGCTCAGTGAGGGATTCTCCATTACCAGGAGTGCTGGTACCCTCCTGGGGTAGTTTTTTTTGATTCCGCTACCACGGTATGGGCCTCCAACCTCCTGCACTAACCAAGCGAAACGCAGAGGCAAAGCTTCTACTTAACGTTGGTATTCTGTGAGGTCGTGATACTGCCCCGGTTCAAGCTGGCCCATCCATGCTACAGCAGAAGCTGCAGCGTGGCTCTACCACTGTTAATTGTTTGTTGTTGTTTGTTATATTTTTACATTACTTCCACTAGTAAACCACATGTGCAGCGCAGACATATTATTATACACAAAATCACACTACTTTTAGAAATCAAAACCATTGCAAGCCATGAATTTTCTTCTTTGACCTTATAACCGTTACTAGATTTTATTTCACTTACTCATCAACATCATCATCATTACAGCCCTTCACAAGTCCACTGCTGAACATAGGCCTCCCCCAAAGAATGCCACAAAGCACGGTCCTGAGCCACCTGCATTCATCGACTTCCTGCATATCTTACCATGTCGTCACTCCATCTAGCGGGGGGGACGCCCTACACTTCGCCTGCCGGTATGAGGCTGCCACTCGAGAACCTTTCTTCCCCATCGGTTGTCGGTTCTTCGAGCTATATGGCCGGCCCATTGCCACTTCAGCTT